TACATGAAACCCTACCGCTTGTGGTAGTGGATAACAAGGAGGCCTCCCATATTCTAGGTCTAGATTGGTTCCATGAATTAAGGTTTCATATTGATATCCCAAGTAATCTAGAAGCAAATCAGTGTTTCTCATCCTCAACAGAGCCCCGATCAAGTAGCCAACTAGCTAAGTCCCTCGAGGGTCTAACCAAAGAATACCATACTCTGTTCGCAGGCGGACTTGCGTTATGCTCTACATTTAAAGCTGAAATTAATCTTAAGGCTGGCACAAAGCCAAAGTTCTCCAAGCCGTACAACTTACCCTTCGCATTTCACGATGAAGTACTGGCCGAACTGAATCGCTTAGTAAGTACTAACGTTTTACAGCCCATTAAGGCCAGCGAATGGGCAGCGCCCATTGTGGTGATACGGAAGCAGGGTGGCAAAATACGGGTGTGCGCTGATTTTAAGGTAGGCCTTAACTCCCAAATACAAGTGGACCGCTACCCCATCCCTCGGATAGAGGAACTATTGTACAAACTCCAAGGAGGTCAATATTTTACAAAGATAGACCTCAGCGACGCTTATCACCAAATCGAGCTACTTGAGAGCTCAAAAAATGCATGGTGATCAACACATCCTTTGGATTATTTCAGTATCAAATGATGCCGTTTGGAATTTTTAGCGCCCCTGGAATTTTCCAACGGTTTATGGAGCAACTGATAGCAGGCATCCCTGGTTGCGCGGTATATCTGGATGATGTGATCGTTACTGGAGAAAATGATGAAAATCATGTGGCAAACGTTCGCCGAATTTTTCAACGGCTAGAAGAAAATGGACTTCGATGTCGCCCAGAAAAATGCACCTTTGTCAGTCAGCAAATTGAATACGCCGGTCACATAATTGATGGTAACGGCATTAAACCCTCAACCAAACGTTTAGAGGCGATCCGAATGATGTCTCGGCATAAAAACGTGCATGAAGTAGAAGCCTTCATTGGGAAAATCAACTATTATAATAAGTTTATCCCGAATTTCTCCGCAAAGGCGACCGCATTGAATATCTTGAGAAGGCAAGGGCAAAAGTTTGAATGGAGCGAGGCTCAGGACACTGCTTTTACAGCATTAAAAGATGATATAATAACAGCGACCCAGATCGTGCACCACAACGATAAGCTACCCATAATTCTTGCAACGGACGCGTCAAAATACGGACTCGGTGTCGTAATATCGCATAGGTATCCAGATGGGTCGGAAAACCCAATTGCTTTCGCATCCAAAACGTTAAATAAGAGCCAAATAAACTACTCGCAAGTAGAAAAGGAAGCACTATCCATAGTATTTGGCGTCACGCGTTTCCACCAGTACTTATATGGTCGTAGGTTTGAACTAACTAGTGATCATCAACCGCTGGTAACCATATTTCATCCCCATAAGAAGCTACCTGTCGCAACGTTGCACAGGCTCCAAAGGTGGGCAATACTTCTCTAAGCCTACGACTACACTATAAGGTATAAAAATACTTCACAACACGCCAACGCAGATGCGCTCTCTCGACTTCCAATGGGCGAAGACTTAGAGTTCGATTATTGGGAAAATAAGATACTTAACGTTTATGAGGTCAATGAAACTGCACTTGACACTTTTCCCATTAGCTCCTCGACGATCTCAAAGGAGACAGAAAAAGATGTCCAGCTTCAAGTCGTTAAAAGAATGATTCAAGATGGGTGGCCACATCACTTGCCGGAATCGCACGGTAATATTAAACCATATTTTGATCGTAGACTCCCGCTTTCTTTACAGAAAGGCGTGATATTGTTTCAAACAGAGCACAATCGAGTGGTTGTCCCAGCAACGTTGCAGCCAAAAGTCCTAGCTATGCTTCATGAGGGCCACTGGGGTCAAACTAGAATGAAGCAGATTAGGCGACGCTATGTATGGTTTCCTAAGATCGATGAAGCAATTGAGAAGTTGTGTAAGACCTGCGCAATCTGCGCAACCACTGCCGCTAGCCCAAAGCAGCACTATTCATCTTGGCCGCCAGCCACAAAACCATGGGAAAGAATTCACATAGACTTCGCTGGGCCGTTCTTCGGCAGCATGTGGCTTATTATAGTCGATTCGTTATCGAAGTTTCCATACACCATCGAAATGTCTACAACGACTTCAACTGCAACCGCACTGCAAATAGTATTTGCCATCGAAGGACTGTCCGAACCCATAGTAAGTGACAACGGAACGCAATTCACATCGTGGGAATTTAAAAAATTCTGTGAACTCAATGCCATTACTCATCTCACTACGGCGCCTTTTCATCCAGCATCTAACGGGTTGGCGAAGAGGTTCGCAAGCATATTCAAAGAAGCGTTTGGAAAGAAAATGAAAGATACATCAAGTAAAGAAAAGGCTCTATGTAAATATCTAGCTACGTACCTCTCAACCCCAAATCCGATCACAGGGAAATCCCTTGCAGAGATACTACATGGTCGACAGCCTCGAACGCTACTTTCAGCACTTTTTT